TGAGCGTCGCACTGTGAAGCTGTTCGCAGCCTCTACAGCGCGGGTTCGATCCCCACCAGCCAGGGAGAAACCCACATGATGAAGCAGACCTCTCCTGTCTCACTCGCTGCTCCCCTCAGCAGTGTATTTCAGTCAGTCTGCCTGTTCTGTTCCCCACTCTGTCTCTGGTGAATCCTCTCACCCTCCCGCACATCTGGCCTGTACCCCGGTTCTTGTATAAATAAATAAATCTTAAAAAAAAAATAAAATGAATTACCATATATTGTTTTAGAGAAATTGTTATGGCTCAAATGTTATCTTTCATTGGAGAAGACAGAGTCACCAAGGAAAAAATTCTAAGGAGAAAAGACTTGATACAGAATTTGGAGAATGCATAACTGCTCTGCTCATGTTTTGATGGACGCACAGAGAAAAGAAAGGCATGAGTGCAAGAAATAGGGAAAAGATCACAGATAAAAGACAGGTTAATTCCATGTCATGAACTATTAAGTTCCTCTTGTTGTGACAAGTCCTTCTTTGATAACCAAACTCAACACTTAATATCCACAGTAGCCTTTGTAGTCAAGTATATTTAAGCAAGAAACCAAATTTCTTAAGATTTTTAAATCAAAATAATGTATACTAATGAGGAAATTTTTGTGACTTTCCTTCTGTGGTCAGGAAAGATTCCTTGGAGGATATTCAGCTTAACTAAGTCATAAGGGATGAGGAGAATTTGTACAGAAAAAGAATGTGGGGGGTGAAAAGGATTTTAGATGGTGAAACTGTATAAACGAGAACTTGAGGTACAAGGTTACTTCAGGAGCAGGGAGTAGCCCAGCTATATGGACGCCACTAAGAACAAAAAGGAGCTGGTAACGAAATGACACATTAGTACAGGGTTAGAAAGTGCTGATGCAGGGCCTCCCCGGTGGTGCAGCAGTTGCATGCTGGGCTGCAAAGCTGTCCACAGCCTCTGCAGCACTGGTTTGATCCCTGGCCCCTGGGGAGGGTCTCACGTGGTGCGCAGACCTCTCCTGCTGCACCCGCTGCTCCCCTCAGCAGTGTACTTCATTGTTCTGCCTCTTCTGCTCCCCGCTTTGGCTCTAGTGAGTTCTTTCATCATCCCACACTTCTGACTGTACCCAGTGCTTGCATAAATAAATAAATAAATCTTTAAAAAAAAAATTGAAAGTGCTGATGCCAGGGTAAGATGTTTAAATTTACTCTATAGAAAATAATGAAGTTGCTGCTGAGCATTTATCAGAGGAAAGTGATATTTTGGCAAAATTCAAAGCTATCTATGAAATAGAAGACACTGTAACAAGAATATCAAATATGAGATAAACTCAGGTTTAGAAAAATATTATGTTATAAATGACAAGAGAAAAAGGAGTAGAATGACAAAGTCCATCGTGAAATTATAAAATAAAAGGCACTTTATAATTTGCCTTTTATTTCATAATATATATACTATATATGTATAATATATTTTGCTCTTTATCTTATATTATAAATATACATGTAATATATACTCTCTCTATATATTTATCTACTGTAAGTGATCAAAGAAAAAGAAATGTCAGAGACGATTTCTATGTTTCAAGCTGGAATAACTTGGATAAAAATAATGACATTTATATAAACATGTGGGGGTGATGTTTTGTCACTGACATGAAGTACAATTGCCAAGACACATTTTCATAAGACTACGGATTATCTCCTGGGAACAGTATATCTGCTTATAACTCAGCTATCAATTGCTGTGTTGGCAGTTCCTTGAGAGAAAAACAGGCATATCAGAAAAATGAGAGGTGTAAGTCTGAGGTACAAGTTTAACATAGTGCAGTAGTCTAAATTATCAGTTTCATGTTGAATGGAAATAGCTCACTTTAAAATTTAACCGTGATTGTTAACAAATTTAGAAAAATTTTCACTTTATGTGTGCATTGAGCACATATTTATGGAGTCCTTCTATTGTGCAAGATCTAATGAGGGGCCACAAAATACAAATTATGTTGTAAGTAGCACAAAGTCCTTGGAGAGGCCAGAAAAAGGAAAGGATCCACAAGTAAACTTCACATGGTAGATATTACTGCATTCATCTTCAAGGACATAAAAGACTATGAAAGATTTAGATGAAATAATTGACTTTCATCTAGAGTGGGATGGGATGAAAAATGTTCATAGGTAGCAAAACAAGGAATTTGAGGGGACATCTTCATCTTGATGGGAATACAAAATCCACAAAGAGAAGAAATAATATATAACTTCAGACTACACTGTAAGGACCATGAGTGCCAAAATCAGGATTTTGGACTTTTTAAAAATAGGAAATGGGAGTTATTGCAGGAGCACAGGCCTGGCTAAAACAACAACATACCAGTACTTCACATGGGACACAAATGAACCCTGATGTCAGTGAAAATGTTCCAGATGAATGAACGCCTAAAAGCATTAAGTGGCTAGATTTACCATTATGGAGGATGGAAAGTTAAACATATTGTAGATGATACCATCAAAGAATTAACAGCATTATTAAAGAAGCAAATAGGCAACATATATTCTCATATTCCCACAACACAGGCTGGGATTAATGACAGATTAGTCCTAGATGCTTAAAAATCCACTACCAGCTCTTGAGAATAGTCACTACTCACTGACTCCCCATTAAGGATAGGCCCTACACTAGGTCCATAACTTGGTGTGCCAAGTCCCTGCTCACAAGCTTCAGCATCTTCCTATCAAGATAATGGAAAATTAAGAACTCTTTACCACAGCACGTGAGCCCTACAAGCCTTGCTCTGAATTTCCTCTTCCAACCTCATCACAGGACCTTCCTCCCTCACACCTATACTCCAGCCAGCTAAGCAGAGCATCTCCTCAGAACATAACAAAGTCTTTCTTGCACCAGAGATAACTGCACTTGTTGCTGATTTCTGCCAGAAGTACTTTGCCCAGATTCTCATAAAACTGGCTTCTCATTCTTCAAATTTAAATCTAGAACAATACTGTTATTTAGTTATTGGTTCTTTCCCCAAATATAGGAAGCATTTGCAACATGACAGACACTTAGAAATAATTATGGAATCAAGAAGTGCATGGACCATACCTTTCAATTTTTGTTAACAACTCAGTCAAACACGACCTAGCTTAAGGATGAGGAAGCATGACTCAGAAATATTAAAGTAATTCAAGCACAGTTCACTGAGGTTGTAAGAGTTAGAAGACAAATTTTAAAATTAGCCCAAAGTCTTACTACTCCACATCATCTTCCTGTATAAAAACGGGGGAAATGAGTCCACATTTTGAGGCCTCTGATGGAGTGAGGACATTTGCTCTAGAAAATTGATGAGGAACCTAAGAGGGTGATCAGAGGAAATAAAGCACAGATGTGTTCTGGGATCACTGAGTAGCAAAAATGCCTAAAGAAAGAAAACATCTGTGAGCGAATGGTGGCCTTTAGATGATTCTTTTCAAAGTAAAACTTGCCTTCTTTTCTTCTTCCTTGAAAATATTTAAATAATTTGAGACTACTTCTCCCATTAGTCCTTAAAATATGACAGATGCCATTATTATTCTCTTTTATAATATGGAAATCAAAGACAAAAGGAAATTAGAACTTGCCTCACTCATATGAATATCAATAAGCAGCTAAGGAGAGATCTGGTGGCAGATCTGTTTTTTTCAACTCAGTAATCACATTTGTCACTTACAATCTTTCTTTTACCAAACCCCACAATTCTAGTATTTTCACAATTTCCCTTTTCATCAAGACATTTTAGATATATTAAACAAATATGTATTGATCGTTTATTATGTGGTAGGTATTCTGCTCAGTGCCAGAGAGTGGAATGGTGATGATGACAGACATAGCAATCGTCTTTAGTGAGCTTTAATTTTAAGATTCAAATTCTTTTTGCTCTTCATAACTATCTTCAATTTAATTTAGACAACTTGGATATGAAATTTTCTGCTTCCTAGGATATAGTAGGAATACATGGAGAGTTGGGCCAGTAGCTCAAGAAAGTTGGGACATTTGATATATATATTTTTTAAGATGTATTTATTTATTTATTTTTAAACATTTATTTATTTATTTATACAAGCACTGGGTACAGTCAGAAGCGCGGGAGGGTGAGAGAACTCACCAGAGCCAGGGCGGGGAACAGAACAGGTAGGAGGACCAAAGTACACTTCTGAGGGGAGCAGCGGGCGCGGTAGGAGAGGTCTGTCGCGCCATGTGGGACCCTTGCCAGCGGCCTGGGATCTAACCGGCTCTGCAGAGGCTGTGGGGGCAGCTTCGCAGCCCAGCGCTCTACCGCTGCACCACCAGGGAAGGCCCATTTGATATATTTGCAAGTGAATGATGTACTTCAGTTTCACAGCTCTCCATGGGCCCTGCAGGGGCAGGAAGGCGTGGTCTTGGTAAGAAGGCAAGGACATGCACACGCAGATGAACACAAACATAAGTTCACTTTGTGGGAGCATGGGGGACGATGAAGAGGGCCGATGTTTGGTCCATTTTCACAAACAAAAAGTAACACAAATTTGAATAGAAAGCAGTGTTATGGGAAGTAACGGGGTGATAGGAAGGCCTGGAGTATGGAAATGGGCAGGTAGAAAGCAACCTAGTAAATTCTATTTATTGTTCTGTCTATGAAAAGTACATTTGAATACAGTTGAGGTTTAAGGTCAAAGTACTAGGGAAAAAAATAAGGGAAGTGGGGGAAAATGTTTAAAACATAAACTATCTTTTTTGCTTTTTCACTTTGCTTTTTCATAATCTCAAAATAATGTTGACCTCAGTTCCCTACCAATGCCCCCTTCTATACCCGGGAAAAATAAATCAAGCAAGTGCTCTGCATTGCAGAAAATGAATTCATGACCTTTGTTCTATTTTGCATCAGATTAACTTTGTGTTTGGAAAACAATTTAAATAATATGTGTGTCTACCATCTGTATAAACTTCGTATACTTTGATTAAACTAATCTAATGATATGCAAACTTATTTCCACAGATTAATATTGACTTCAGTACCAGGGACCTCATCTCAAAGAATATCACAGAACCAACTCTCAAATGTTTTGATGAGGCTCAGAAGTTAATCTATAGTCTCATGGCCAAGGATTCTTTTCCTCGATTTCTAAAATCAGAGATTTATACAAAACTGGTAAATAGCAAACAGGTTGGGAATAATAAAAAATGGTTCCCTTTCTTGTAAAGAAGGTAAATGACAAATACTAATCAGATTATGATTTGGGGAGAAGCAAATTATGAGCTGATAGGAGACAAAGTTCTTAATCACAACAAGACTAAAACGTCTGATATATTTTTGAAATATACAAACACAATGTACATTGTTTAGGGTTTAGAAAACACTGTTTTTACTCCAACAGAATATATATACACACACACACATATAAATATATATATATATACCCCCATATATATAAAGCCTAACTTTCTTTGTCATTTGCTTAGAATTTATTCATTTTTTCATTTTTACTCAACAAATCCTATTGGGAGAGTACAAGGGAGATTATAAAGATATATTTTAAATCATAAATGGATATTCTTATGACATTATGAATTCAAGGTACTATATATCTTCATGTTGCTGAGTGGAAGACTATTTAGCATCGCATGCATGATTTTAAATACTATTTGCATTATTCAAAACTTTACTATTTGTAAAAAGAGAAATTCTGAACCAAAACACAATTCTCTACTGAGTGTGCTGGACTATTCCTATTAAACCAGTATCTGCCACATAATAATGGGGAGAGTATCGAAACTGTCATGGCATTAAGATAAATTAAAAAGAAAACTCAAGAATGTATGGATCAAATTTTGTTAAACTATTCCCCTTGGTTCATTTCAATGGCATTACATAAGCATGTTTATAGAAAGGATCTTGATGGTGAAGATTGATTTTCTTATAATAATAATATAAAGGAAAGGGGAGGAATAAAGAGCATGGCTGAGTTCTCATGAAGTGCATGGCAGGGATTATTTCAGAAAATAAAAGGTTATGATAACACTATGTACTTAAGTTCTGGAGTTAAGTATCTATTTGTTTATTTACTGCTAGAACTTGTTTATAAAACTCTATGAAATTTTTAAATGCATTTATTTATTGTACTTTGAGATCCTCCCCAAAACTTTTACATATATATGTATATATAAATGTTTTATGAAAACTATGCATAATTTCATGTCAATGTAAGAAGCTACAATGATTCACCAGGCCTTCCATGTTATTTGCACAGATTTATTTATCTTTTGGATAACTCTAATTTGGAAATTATTTGTAATTAAAAAATGAGGAAAAATAGCATGACTTATTTTGTTTCCACAAACTATTCATTTGATAGACAAACTTGTCTCCCCTTCATCATCAAAAATAAACATTTCAGCACATGCAAATGGAATATTCCTTGTTCTCTTGCAAATCTTTAAAGGAAGACAAAACACGACCTGTATGTGAAATGTACAATGTGCATCTTAAAGTGCTCTTAGTGGAAAATTAGATCAATACTTTGCACGATTTATTTTGTAGTTTTTGACCTTAATTTAGGTTCTATTTGAAAACTAATTTTGTTAATTATTCCCAGAAATGAAAAAGGACCCTTCATGATTAAAATCATACCTCTCTTTTAGACATGAAAGAATTTAGATCTCAGTTATTTCCTAAGGTAACATAGCAGCTAAATGACAGCTGGTAAAAACAGCACTTTTCCTCAAGGATGGTGCCACCTGAATCCTTCTTACTGCAGCAGCTTTTTGCTGAGTCCTGGGAATCTAAATCCCTAGGACTCCTCAGATACTCAGACACTGCTTCTTCCAGTAAATATTCCAATTGTCCTTTTATATTGAGTTATAACTTTCTTTTAGTTAGCATAGACTTTGTGTCCAATGATGGCCTTTTAGGTTTTCTCAAATGATGCCCAGGGAGCCACAAATCAAGCCTTCACTTCCACCCTCCCTACCCCAAGCAGGAGATTGTTTGATAGTGCCTAGAAATACAGTAGGTGTCAAAATGATTTACCAATAAATTGGGCCACGGATAGACCCCCCACTCAGAGACACCCCCCCCCCCGGAAGAGCAATCCTACTTCCCACCCTCTCTATTCACTTCCTACCCCAATGGTACAAAAAACAATGGGAAGTTTTAGGGATAAAAGCAATTTCAGGTTTTAGAATACTTCATAGGATTTTTCAGAAAAATATCAGCTGTTTATCTTTCACATGTGGTTCCATTTATTTCTCTTTCACTCCATATGTTATTTTATTTCATTGATGAGTGATTTTATGGACGGTAATTTTTCATAAACAGAAATAAATGTTCCTGGTAATGTATTTAAATGTTCAATGATTATGTAATGCCATTTTCTAAAAGTATTTACATTAGCTTTAAGAAATGCCATTCTTACATTAAAAAGTGATTAAAAGAGTAAAGAATTAGTGAAATTATAAGATATTGATACAGATATTACCATCAAATTATAAGATTTTCCCTATCTATCTATATTTTCCTTTTTCTGACAGTTCCTACAAAATATATCTTAAGTCAATTTATATTTGCCCTTCATTAGCTCACTCCCAAAGATGTTAAATGATATCTTCATGAAAGAATCCTAGCTTTTTAAAGATAGTCCATTGTAGAGCTACAACCCATGGTTTTATCTAAAATTTCTTTGAATGTCAAATAATAATAATTCATCAATGATTATTGACGCTTATGTTTATCCAAATAAGGTTTCTTAGATTTGCCTAGAAAGGATTTATTTCAGCCTCAGAATAAAACCAATTCTTTCTGATGTTAGATTGCAAAAATCCCATAACTTTAGGTCATTACAAACATGAGCTAGTCTCAAACTTTTTTTAGTCTGTCTATATGTAAAATTCATTCCACTTACCTTCATTGTTCTACTTTTCTCTATTTTTTTTAATTTTTATATGCCCCCATATTATTTTTAGTGAGAATACATGTTGATAAACTAATAGCAAAGAAAAATGCTTTCTGTTTCTATTCCAATATCCTTTCTAGTAAGCATAGTATCCTCTTGGCCTTTTAAACAATAATAGCATTCTGGTCCATAGCTTTAGAGAATAGTCTAGATTTCTTTCCTGAAATCAAGAAAAGTTCAAGTTCATGAAATTTAATTGAATTCACCTTCCTTTTGTCTCAATGAAACTGATCGACTAATCTCAAAATGTAGAATATTTCCTAACATAAGCAAGCGATAGGAATCATTGCTGGGAAACTAAAGAGACCATTCTGAAAAAAAGAAGGAAAGAAAAGAAAAGAACTTTCCTTTAAAAAACAACTATAGATAATTTGGTCTCTGTATCACTAAACTTCATACATTTATTTCCTATGCAAAAATTCTATCTCTAGCCTTCATCCACAGAATCCCAACATAACAGCTTCACCCCAATTATATCTAATGCAAGTCTGATTTGCTTCCCAACCACAAGTCATGTAATTTATTTCATGGTTATGCCAATTAATTTAAAGTGAACTCTTTTCACAACTATGTGGAAAAGGTGGGATGTTGTCACAGCAGTAATCAATTATTATATGAATAAAGAGTCACTCGCTCTATGCTCCTTTCATTGTTTTGTCAGATTTGCCATTGCATTTTAATGGGGAAGCATCAGGATGGAATATTAAGTGATAACTATTTACTTTAGCTATGCCATTTCAGAGGAATTTTTACATGTTAAATGCAATGACGGTAGTGTGTACTTGATATAAAATACATATGCATAATTAATTCTAATAACGAATAAACACATTTTGCTGTGTTTTCAAGAATAAGAGAATGTAGAAACATAACATTTTTAAAACGATCTCATTTCTTTATGAAACCACTTCATTTTTTTTTCTCCTTGTTTTGTTTAACTGAAAAAACAGGATTGGATTTCTGGTAGAGAGAGAGGAAAAAAATGATGACATTTAATCAGGTTATTGTTTAGCCATTGATTATTTATGCCTGGTGTATATCTGTTAAAGTTAAATGTGAATATTTCTGAGAAAGGAAAACTGTCTTATTCAGTTCATATTTTTCCCTTGGGTAACGATTTATTTATATTTTTGAATATCTCATAAAATATTGCTTCATTTACTTTTATTTTTACAAATAGATACTTTGAAGAAGTATTTCCTTATAAGCCTTTATGTAGTTTCCTTGTTCTGATGCTTTTATTCCTGTGCAGTTAGGAATATAAGTTGAATATTTGGATCATTAATTTTGTGACTAATAATGGATTAAGTGTAGAATATAAAAAACTGTTGGTTCTTTTTAAAATCGATAAGAAGAAAATGTTATAGGTTGCATAATGTACACATATTAAATACTCTCACATTTCTTTCATGTAGATTTAAATTAAAATGTCATTTTAAAAGCATTAGTTTAGGCTTTTAAAAAGTAAATATTTTTGTGCATAATGCCACTGAATTATTGTTTTTTTGTTTCACTTTCCAAATATGTCATGTTTACCACAGAGACATAATAATGAATTCAAAATCATAATCATATTTTTCTTACAGCTTATAAACAGAAGACATAGGGGGAATTCCTAGTATTTAGTACAAAAAAAATAAATTTTAAAATTAAATATTCAAAGCAACATTTGTTTAATATCTGAACATGAATTTTTTATGGTAGCATACTAAGATACACTATTAAAAACCAAGAGTACGTCAAGGGAGATTTAAATGTTGAATATGTCATTTTACCTACTAAAAATTTGCTTTTCAACTATTGTTTATCGCACAACTCTATAGATTCTTCTACAGTATTTTCTTTTTGCTAGAAGCAGTCTTTTAAAATGAGTAAATAAACCCTAACACTAGAAGGTTAAAGAGTGATTGAAAATTGTAAACCTTGAGCCCTAAGTGTGTTTTAAACCACATAAGAGTCATTTTCCAAAATGCAGTTTTTAGATTAAGTGGCAGAAGCCAGTGGAGAGTAAAAAGTGGCATAGCCACTTTCAGTAAATTTATAATTTTTTAAAGAAATCAAAGGTTATGTGTATATAAGAACATATATGTATATCCATGTTAGGAACACTTTAAATTTCTGTCTTTTCTTTTTTAAATATTTTATTTACTTATTTTTGCATAGACAAACTGGTCAAAGTGTTAATTATATCAGCTGGTTATTTTTTAAGTCCATATAAATTGTGCTACATAATACCTTCAATTAACTAAGAGTAAAGACAGAAAACAAAATAAAAGCAAGTGTTCATCAAAT